GAACTCACAACCCCAAGATCAAGATCAAGAGCCAGCCAGACAGCTTGATACTTTTAAGTATCAATGTTTTAAGAATGACTTCCTCAAATTTTAAGATTGGCAAATATTATCCCTATAGATTTGTCTTATTTGATTTTTTCAAATGTTTATTTTGAGAGACAGAAAGAGCAAGTGGGGGAGGGGCAGAGAAAGGAACAGAGAGAATCCCAAGCAGGCTCTGCACTGTCAACACTGAGCCCAACACAGGGCTCAATCCCACGAACTGAACCGTGAGATCGTGACCTGAGCTAAAATCAAGACTCAGACGTTTAACCAACTAAGTCACCCAGGTGTCCCTGTCTTATTTGATTTTTAATAAATATCCATGCTCTAATGTTAGAATTCTGGTCATATGAAGTATTAATTCCCTCCTAAATTATTGAAACTGCCCCATTCCTGAGGGCTCATACATGAACACTTAGCTTGAACAATTCCGTGAAACAGCCCATGAGTTCTTATGAAATTTAAATGGTTTTACCACAAAGTCTGTCCCTGCCTTCTTTCCTTCCTTTCTCCCTCTTTCCCTGCCTCCTTTCCTCTCTTCCTGTGTGCTGTGCAGCCTTGCCTAGTGTTAATAAGTCACAATCTTCTCAAAAAAAAAAAAAAAAAAAAAAAGACTGGAAAGCTTTATGTCATTTCCTGTGTTCTGGAACTCATCATTACTTTAAAATACCTGAATGAGGAGCACCTGGGTGGCTCAGTCGGTTAAGCGGCCGGCTTCGGCTCAGGTCATGATCTCGCGGTCCGTGAGTTTGAGCCCCGCGTCGGGTTCTGTGCCGACAGCTCAGAGCCTGGAGCCTGTTTCAGATTCTGTGTCTCCCTCTCTCTCTGACCTTCCCCTGTTCATGCTCTGTCTCTCCCTGTCTCAAAAATAAATAAAGCGTTAAAAAATATATATTTTTAAATACCTGAAATGAAAAAGTTCATTTGGATTTGAAATCCACTTGAATATATTATATTTGTCAATTAAATAAAGGGAAGAGCTGTTGGAATGTTTAAATATAATTTCAATTGTAAGCTTTGGGATGGTTAAATTTTTTCTTTTAGCACCTACTTGCAGCTGTGAAGTCTCTTGTTGATGTCAACTACCAAGAATTTGAAGAGATCATCATTAATAAGCCTTGATTGGAAATCGTGTGAACCATTTTGATTATAAAAGCTCATATAAAATATTTGTGTCTCTTAAGAAATAAATTTTAAAATGGGTACATTGCTGTTTCAAAGTTCATTATGAAATATATTTCATTTTTCTCATTATAAATACAGTATATAGAAATGAATTCCGTCCCCTTCCCCAGACCCACATGGACAGTCTGAAACTCCTTCCAACTTTTCCTCAGTGTGCAGTTCCAGTATTTTATGCACATGCCATAGCATGTATAAAGTTGGAAATCACTGAGTTAGATAGAGGTCTGGTTAAAATACTACACAGCTAGAATAAATCATGAAGCTGTCATGAGTATTGATAACTGTTGAACCTGTATGATGAGTACACGGGGATTCCTGTATGAGTATGTAAACGTGTATAAGACATTACTTAGGGAGAAAATGCAAGGCAGTGTAGGTCTGTTAACCATTTGTGTAAAAAAAAGGCAGGGAGGATAAAAGTATATTTATATCTATGTATTTGTCTGTATCTGAAAAGATGTTTCCAGAAGGATCAAAAATCTGAAGAGGGGCCTGAGTGGCTAAGGTAAAAGAGCAGGGGCAAGGGACACATTGTGGGGATAGGGGTGGGGGAAATGCTGGAGACTTTGGTGTTGAACTAAAGAGAATGATGACCCTGAGCACAGGGACAGCAGTGGCAAGCTCTGAATCTAATACCCAACGATTGGAAGTGTAGAGGTCCTTCTGGTGAGCCGGATGGAGGACGGAGGACACCGGGGAAAGCTGGCCAGGTGGGAGACAGAGGTCATGGGCGCTACGGAAGGGCAGAGGCAGTGGGCGTGGCTTCAGGTCTCACCAGCCTCGACCACCAGGGGGCAGCCAAGCCTGCTCCTGAAGGCGTGAGGGGCGGAGCGTCCGAGGCAGGTTCCCGCCTCCAGCTCCGTCCCCGGCTCGAGCGCCCGCCCATAGAGTCCTCGTTTTCCCAGACCCTTTCGGGACCGGCTGCTACAGGTGGAACTGTATAGGAAGCCCGCCCGACGGTGGGGTCATCGCTGCCGCACCCTCCCCACTCCCTCAACCAGCCTCCCCCAAGCTCTTTTGGGTTATTTCATTCAATGTGGACCACAGTCGTGTGAGATGGGTACTGCCATCGATCCCATTTATGGAGGTCAATGTTGGAGCACAGAGAAGGTAGGTAGCTTGCCCAAAGTCACAAGCCCAGGAAGGGTGACCCAGGAAACATACCTGACTTGCCCACCCTAAGAACCAGAACCTTATCAAACCATGGCTCCTTCACTGGTCTCCAGGTTTCTACTCTGCTCCCCTCCAGAACCTTCACACAGCTGCCAGAGGGTGTTTTGGGGCCCTACGGGGGCATATCATTCCCTGACAACTTCCCTCTGGCTCTCACTGACCTCAGGATCAAGTTCAGCCCCCTCATCCCACCGCTCTGGCATCACCTTGACCCAGGAGGCCTTCTCAACTCGACACACCCATTTTGCTTCAGCCTGAAGAAAACTTATTCACCCTGTGCACTTGCTTCTTCTTCACCAGGACCACTCTTCTTGCTTCCCCCATTCTTTTAGTTAACTCCTACATTCTTCCAGCCCTAGATCTCATTACCTCGTCTTCTAGGGAGCCTTCCCTGACTCCTGACTCCCAGACAAGCTCAGGCTCCACATTAAATACTGTTGGGGCACTCACTATGAGCCTCTTAAGTTGCACTGGCCTCAGAAATGTGCTTCACTTTTGTAATTATAATGGTGTCACCATTCCAAAAACTCCCCAATCACCCTTGATTCCTCTTTCTTGACCGATTTCTAATCCATCAGTAAATCCTGTGGGATCTACCATTAAAATGTTACCTCAAGTCTGACTCCTTCCTACCTCCTTCCCCACTAGGTCCTTCATTAGTCTTGCCATTCTTCCTCATGGTCACCCAGATTCCACCTTTGCCCTCCAGCAGCCAGACCCATCCTTGTATTTGTCTGTTTTCCCAAGAATGGGAGTTCCATAAAGGAAGGGCCTTGTTCACTGCAGAATCCCCAGGGCTCTAGGACTGTGCCTGTGCCAGGCAGGCCTCAGTAAATACATGCCAAGTGGCTGTTTCTTCCCCTAGAATGTCAGTTCCTGGGGGCAGGGACTGTGTCCATCCTGTTCACGCACAGCCCCAGTGGCTTGGCACACAGCAGGCACTCAATAAAAACCCCATCAATGGCAGGTGGAGAGATTCAGGCCCAGAGGGAGCTCCCCTGCAGCACCCCTGCCCAGCAGCCAGCCGCACATCCCCTCCTTCCCCAGCCCGGGGCACACAAGAGCCCAGGTCCTTTGCTCACTGAGTCAACACAGTTTATTACTGAACTGCACTTTCACCTTCACACAGACTATTTCAAAGAGCTGGAACAAGTGTGGGGTGGGGGCTGAGTGGGGGGGGGGGGGGGCAGTTGCCCCTAAGGAGCCAGGACCCCCAGCTGGCTTCCCCAGACCAGGGCAGGGGAGGGAGCATCAGGCCGTTCAGTCTCCGGGCACCAGCTCTCCACGTGCACACGCACAGCAAGCCAGCAGCTCCTCACACATAAATACAGACACGCTTAACAAAAATAGTATATCATCTTCACAAGGAATAAAAACTAGTCTCGAATATGTACAGCAGAGAGCCCGGGATGGCTAGGGGTAGGCCGGGACCCCTGGGGATGAGACAGGCCATGGGTGGAGTAGAGGGAGGCCTGAAGGACTCCTGGCCAGGCCACTCTGACCTTGGCAGCCTGGCGACCCAGGCTGAATGGGGGTGGGGCACACACCTGTTTGACCAGGTAGGACTGGCCCTTCCAGCCACCCCCACCTACACCTCGTGCATCAGGGTCTCCTTCCTGCCCTTCCTGCCTGAGGTAGGGAAGACTCTAGGGCTCCCACAGCTGCTCCCTGTAGCTCCCCTTCACGTCTGGGCCGAGGCCCCCGAACCCCTGAACTCTGTGGGCAGCAGCCCAAGGCAAAGATGCCACAGGCTGATCTCGCAGGAAGTGAGGCAGCTGAGGCCATAAACAGCTCTGGCCATAAACAGCTCTCGGGCCCAGTTGGTCCCTTAGTAATGGTCATGGGAGCCAAGGGAAAGGAAGGGGAAAGGAACTAGGGTGGTGCTAAACTGCAAGGGCCACCCTAGCTTTGGCATGGGGTGCTTCCTGCAGCTACAGCCCCCCACCCTGGGTGGGGCTGGCCTCTAGCCAGAGGCCTCTGGAGGACACTGGGATTGGGGTCAGGGACTTTGGCCAGGCCAGAGGTGGAGAGGGGGTCCTGGTCCTTGTTTCTTTATCCCAAGCAGCTTGAATCCCTAATTAGTCAAAAGTGGCCCCTAAGTGGCTCTTGGGAAGGTGGGGATGATAGGAAGGGGACCTAGATCCTGGAAGGGATAGGGAATGATCAATTCTGAGGCCACAAACATCAAAACGAAGGCAATCTAGTCTCTCCTGGGGAAAAGGGTCAGAAAACTTTCCAGCTCCCTGGCAAGAAAGCATTCTCAGGGAGGCTAAGGGGTTGGGGGGTTCCACCAAACAGGCAGGGCCCTCCAGCCCCTAACCACATACACCCCCACACCTGCCAGCTTCCATGGGGCAGATTTTGGGGAAACTCTGTGGGTTCTGAGGCCAGGAGAACAGAGGTGTGGGGAAGGCGGCTTTCACAGAAGCATGGTAGATTTCTAGAAAACTAATTGCAGGGGACCAGGTCTAGGCCCAACCCTGTGATGGGTAGGTGGCCACAGGCTGCATGTAGTGGTTCTCCTGGTGGCAATGGTTGCTGGATAAAGGGATGTGGTGGGGGCAGGGTAGGGCAGGGAGGGTAAGTGGGTGGTCAGTGTCTGGTCATTTCCGACTGAAGAGTGAGCCCAGCAGAACCACGCCAGCCACAGTCATGCCTGTCAGGAACCAGCGGTTGAAGCGCTCCTGGCCCTTCCGGCTCTCGGCCGCTGCATTGTTCCCGTAGAGTTCCACAAAAGTGTCCTGCAGGGAGAAGAAGAGAAGGTGCTATTTGAGTCCTTTGACAGTAACATGGGGGGGTAGGAGAAGGGGGCCATCTGCTGCAATGGTGATCTGAAAAACTATAGCCATCCGTGCCTCCTCTGGGCCAGATACAGGGTTAAAGGCGGCCCTTCTTCCTGATGCCCAGCTGGGGATGACCAACACACATTATTGTTGAGATAACAGGTGCAAAGCTGGGAAGGAGCTTTGTCCAAGGTGAGCTGGCTAAAAAGTGGTACTGGAGAACCTGCGGGAAAGAGATAGGCAGGGGCAGGGAGGTGACAGGAGGCTAGGTGGCTGGAGCAGAGGGCAGGAAAGAAGGGGACAGGGCAGAAGAGGGTAAAGTGGTGAGCAAGAGCTGGCTCATGTGTGGTCTGGAAGCAGAGGAGGAGCATGGAGTGGAGTCTGTGAGTAGCCTTCCCACTGCTGTGACAGAGGGAGGGGACAGGGAGGGAGAGGAGATGGGGCTAAATTCCCAGTGATTCAGGGGCAGGTCAAGTCTGGGGATTATGAGCCAAAGGCTCCTTCTCCCTCTGGAGGGAGCCTCTGGCCAGGATGAGTGATGGGTAGACAGAGCGGGGCAGAGTAGAGGGGCAGCAATGATGATGCAGGACTGGGACAGGATCTAGGAGGCCCTGTCCATGTCTTTCAGCCTGCCCCCAGGGGGCGTGACTCTGGGCCCAGGAGGAGGTGAGCAACAGCCTTCAGCCCTGAGGCCAGTCAGGAGGGAAGCACATGATATGGGGAAGGTAGGGCGGTGGGTTAAATTACCCAGCCCAGGGCGGAGCCAGCCTGTGGGGCAGGGAGAGGGGGTTTGCAGTACCCTTTAGTGAGGCGGCTTTGCTCCCTATTTGTCCTCTAATCCTCCCAACAATGCTGCAGTACAGACCCTCTCTCCCCATTTACAGACCAGGAGCCTCTGGGCCTAGGGAGGTGTGTGTCTAGAGTGTGAATGGATCACCTGCTGGTCCCAGGGCCCATGTTCCTCCTCTCCATCAAGAAGGTGGGCCCTCATTTCCACCTGGTCCCAACTGGCCGAGTGGTGGCTGCTCCCTCAGACCAGTTGGTTCCAAGTTCCACCAGGCCAGTTTGCTCACTGTGATGTGTGCCTGGCCTTCCTTCTGGTCTTGACAAGCCCCCTCAGTCCATGCTCCACACAGAGGATTTTTAAAAACGTAGATCAGATCACGGCACGCCTGGGTTTAAAGTCCTCCAACAGCTTTCCCTTGCACTTAGAAAGCCAGTGTCATTTTTGCTCACATCCTGGTACCTAGCAGAGTGCCCTGTGCACCAAACTGCCAAGATGACTCAAAGACTCCTGAGTGTTTATTAAGCCATCAGGGAAACAGCAGAGACACCGAAGCTGCAGCCCCTACCAGATAGTTTACGATGTATGGGGGGAAAACCACTAGAAAAAGTCCCTCCATTCAGGCCATGTCACTCCTTCCCATCTCATCCCAAGCTCTCAGCCTTCACAAGGCTTCCTATCACACCTGGAATAAAGCCCTCACTCCTCACCACGGCCAGCGAGGTCTCGAGGAACCTGCTCCTCCCTCCCTGCTGCACACTCGCCACACGGGTCTCCTTGCTTTTCCTCCAACATCTGCTTGGGAGGTTGCTGTTCTCACTGCCTGGAGCACTTGACCCCAGATCACCACCCACCTCACTCCCTCATTTCACTGCCGACTCTGCTCAAATGTCATCGCCTCAGAGAGGCCTGCCTTGGCCACCTCGTCTAAAATGGTACCCACCCTCCTCTCTACCTGTCCTCTTACCCTGTTTTATTTTTCTCCCCAGCACTTCTCATAACGGTGCATAATGAACAGATTCAACACTTTGTTTCGTCTCTTGCACTAGGTGTGGCTTGACGAGGGCAGAGCCCCTGTCTTGTCTCTATATACCCAGTGCCTGGAACAGTGTCTGGCACGTGTTGGTGCTCAATAAACACATGAGTAGAATGAAGGTACTACAAGTCTACTAAGTGCCACGTAGTTACCCATTTCACCTTCATCAGCTAGATTTGAGCCCCATTTCACACTGCAGAGGGAAGACCTTGCCTGGGGTCAACCGGCTAACAGGTGGCAGAGCCAGGATCAGGACGCAGGGATACTCAGCTCCAAAGGAAGCACGGCTATAGCAGGACACTTCCCTATGTGGGGGGCTGGGGTGACGTGTCCTGTCAGTAGCGCTAAAACGGGATTCTAGAAAGAGGGGGTGGAGTTGAGGAGGAGCCCTGGGTCTGGAGAGAGAAGGGCAGTGGTGTGGCAGCAGTCAGCCTCCTAATTCTCTGGCCTTGTCGCTGCCCAGGCATCGCCGTGTGGAAATGCTTCCGTCTCTCCCCCCTCATCCCGGCTAGCCTCATGGGTGTTGGTGGACAAAGAAATTCTTACAGGAGTTGTAATTTTTCTGGTCCTAAGTGTCCTAAGTGAAGTAGGCCCAAGTGGAGTCACAAAAAAAGATGGATCTGTGATGGGGGAAGACTACTGGGCTATCGGGGGCATGGGAGAAGTGAGGCCAAGGCCAGAAGGAACTGGCTCTCCCAAGGGGCCCAATGTCTCTTAAGAAACCAGGGACACTGGGGTTGCAGCCAAAGTGGGAGAGGCCTGGCTCTCTCGATGGGAACTTTCCTAAAGTAGAGGGCTGGCAGCCACGGGAAACTTTCCTCTCTGGGGCTGGGCTGGAGTAAACAGGCCCTGTCCCTGCAAGGGCACAAAGCACTCACTGTCCAGGAACAGTCATTCCAGGGTGGAGGGAACATTCTCGTTTCGGTGCCATAGAGAACAAGACTCTGACCTGCCCAACCCCCCGACTCATGCATTCCTGGCCAGGACAACCTTCATTAGGAGCTCCTTCTCCTGGGGGGCGGGGGGAGTAGGATTTCCAGGGGCCACGGATTCTGGGGACTGCTTTTGCAGACAGAGCATGAGCAAAATGGGGTGTGCTATTGCAGGGCGGGTGCTGGGGAGACAGTGGTGTGGGTATATTTAGCTCAAGGTTCACACGACACACTTGGAAACAAACACAGCCATTTTCTCAGTGGGCGGTTGCCCTGGATAAACAAGCAGCATTGCAGAGCAGCCTGGTTCTGGAAAAGCAGAGATAAGCCCCGGTGCTCCTCAATGGCTCCCACTAGTTTCAGCCAGAGCTGGCATGGTGGGCAGGAGGGTGAGATGCAAGGGTGAGTGGCAGGGAAGTCTCTGATGTCACAGAGGCTTTCAAGAGACCCGGGCATGAGGCTGTCTGCATTCTCAGCTGAGGTGACAGCAACGTGGGGGAAGTTTTCTCTTTGTACCTGTGACCGCTGCCATGGGATTCGTAAAGGAGTTTTCAGGGCCACCGGGGATAGGCAATGGCTAATGACTTCCATGGGAGGATCACGGACTCCCCCGCCAGCCAGATCCCCCACAAGTTAGTAAGACCAATGCACCTGCCCATTCTATAGTTTCACACGGCTAGTTTGTGGTAGAGCCTGGACTAGGAACTGGTGTCTCCCGACTTGGCATCAGGGCCCTTTAGAGAAGTGAGCCAAGAACCAGGGTCCCCAGGAGAAGCCAAAGCTGGGACCACTTTCAAGATCCTGCCTCCAACAGTCCTGGCCACATACATGGAAGGGCTCCACCCAACATACTCCAGGGTGCTTTTCACCCCTGTGTGTCCTCTTAACTGGTCACCCTCCCCGTATCATCTTCCTCAGTTAGCCAACCGCTACTCAGCTTACGAGACTCCATGACAAAGGTCTCCTTTGTGCTTCCAGGGTTTTTGCACTTTCATTTACACCATAAATATGTCTTTCTTTTTTTATAAATTTTTTTTTTAACATTTATTTATTTTTGAGACAGAGAGAGACAGAGCATGAGTGGGGGAGGGTCAGAGAGAGAGAGGGAGACACAGAATCCAAAGCAGGCTCTAGGCTCTGAGCTGTCAGCACAGAGCCTGACGCGGGGCTCAAACTCACGGACTGCAAGATCATGACCTGAGCCAAAGTTGGACGCTTAACTGACTGAGCCACCCAGGCACCCCCCCTTTTTTTTTTTTTTTAATTTTTTTTTTTTCAACGTTTATTCATTTTTGGGACAGAGAGAGACAGAGCATGAACGGGGGAGGGGCAGAG